GATTTCCCAGAGCTGCCTTACTTCTTGTGGCCCCTCACAAACTGCAGCTGAGACCTTCCTCACTCCTTGCCCTGTGCTCCCCTGCACTTGCTCTGCTCTTAAAGGGGCGCTGAAGAAAACATCCAACTCAGTCTGCTCTTAATGCCTCCACATACTGCCAAGGCAGAATAAAAGAAGCCACATGAACAGAAAGAGCCCAGGTTATTTCTCTCTATGAGCACTGATACTGAGATATTACCAAACCCAATGGACTTATTGCACCTGTCAGCAGCAGTCTGATATCCCAGAGAAGTTCTACAGAGCAGGTCGGGGCACTTGAGACTAATTAAGCGCTGTTCGCCAATGGATTGTTTATACAGCTTTGTAAACTCTGCATTGCATGCTGATTGCTTATTCATGTCCCTATTATCTCTGGCTGGAGAAAGACACCCAAGAAGGAACCTGTAAGAATACATCTGTCCCTCCAAGTGGTGCAGAGTGGTGCAGAGCTAGGGCTGATCCAAACCTGGCTGTGGGGCACCATCCCACGTGGAGAAGTGCTCTCAGTTTTGGCACAGTACAATCTGGATGCAGTGCCTTTCCAGCAACAGTTTTTGTGCTAGAACTATCTCCAGTGGTACTGGCGTTACTGCGCTATGCTCAGGAAAACAGCCTGCGACCCAGCTGGATGAGGCCCTGGCAGGAGCCTGTTGGATGCAGGCATTGCTCTGTGCAGAGGTGTGCGGTGCACGGTGCCAGTTACCCAGGGCTGAGATGTGAGCAAAGCAGATGCCCTGTCAGATGCCTTGGCAGAGCGATTGAAGAGCAGCACAGGATGTGGTTGTTCATCACTGTAGTATCTGAAGAGCTGACAAAACAAACATTACTATCACACAAAATTTTGCATGCAAATTCTAAGCCATAGGCACACTGTGGCATTTTCTACTCTTATTAATTTCTCCTTCCTTTTTCTTCTTTATGTTTGATTGTTATTGCTTTCTGACTTTAAAGTACTTTAGCACTCCACTTTTAATGTTCTTATATGCAGGCTTTATTTTGAAGCGTTATAAATTCTGTAGTATCATACACCACATCATACTACCACTTCATAGGAGGTAAAATATGCTTAACATAAAAGAAATGCCGCTGTGAAAAAATTTCCAATATAAAAACATAGCTGGGAGCAATGAGAATTAGCCAGGAGCAGGATGAAGGCTGAATATCCCTGCTGGGAAACTGCACAGTTGAGAGGGATTTGTAGGAAGGGAGTGAAGGTGCTTCTCTTACATGAACCTGCAAGCTCAAACAGAGACATCAGAGAATGAAAGGGCAGAAGAGCAGCTCCTCAGGGAGACAAGAAGCTTATATGAGGAAGAGGATAGAAATGTGGGTAAGGAGGGGAAAGGCACGTGAAAATTTGCAAATACAGAGAAGGAATTTCACTGCGAAAAAGGAGAAGGAAAGTGACCCCTACAATTCCTGAAGGCTCAAATCTTGTCCAGCTTCAAACTGCTACTTCCTGCTCTTCTATACTTTGTTTGCAGCCAGCCAGATGCAGCTAACTGCTTGCAGCTATCTGGCTGCATGCCAACACGTTTCAGAGCCCTGTCCAGAAGCTAGTCCTCCTAAATGAGCAGTCAGCCGTGGCTACCGGCCAACACGTAAGCCTTTCACCCGCCTGTGCGCTGCTGCCCCAGGTTGAACTGCTGCTGATGGTCCATGTTGTGGGCTGTTAAGCCACGGGGAGAGGCAGGAGAGCCTCCTGGTTTATGTATCTGCAATAGGGTCTGCCAGAGCACGCCAGGGCACTCGTGCCCAACTGCCCAGCCTGCTAAGCCCACGTGCAAATGCCCATGCTGCAGGGATGGGCGCAGTGGGGGCCACATCACCAGATGTGCAACGGCGCAGGGATTTTGATGGTCAGCATCTGCCAGTACCAAGGCTGAAGGCAGAGCTAAAACTCCACCAAACCGAGCTAACTGAGGAACCAGTCCGCAGTATACTGTTGGACCACCTGTTTGTCTTTCTGGAAATCTTGTGTGGGTATTGTCACATTGCGAAAAGTTTGAGATGTCAACTTTAACATCTACTCTTCAAAGATCTATGCACCATTTTTCCCATTTCTGACCCACAAACCCCAGTGGGGGTTATTTGCAGTAAGAATTGGGGGAGTTTACTCTACAGTCTGCTTAGCACCGATTGTTTACCAAGTTTTCATCTCCCATAACCTACATGCACTATTCTTAAAAACATCTCTATCTCCCATCCTCCCATTCCTCCTGCCTTTGTCTCTGCTTTTGTGCATGTTATCTGAGGATGTGTTTTCAAGAGCCAAAGCTTCTTTTAAAAGGACTTTTGCCCACAAGAAGACGAGGTAATACCTCAGCTTACTGCAATATCACCATCTTCCATTTTTAAAGATATTTGCTTCTAGTTTAACAAAAGAAAAGTATAGAGAAAAGCAAGATTTAAGCTCTGTCTGGAAAACGCTGAAATGCAGATTAAACAAGGACACTTCCATCTTTGTCTTATGCCTAGTTCTCAGGTAAATACAAATTTACCTATCCTGTACAAGAGAATGTCTTATGAGGACAGATTAACTGCAGTAGCAAATCAGGAGAGTGTAGTAAATTCCAGATTATATTAAATATATTGGTATCTTATCTTTAGTGTAAACTGTGGTAATTTTTGTACACTTTTAAGTTTTAAATATGTCCAAGGAACAATCTGTAAAATTTCCAGTAAGTCTGGCACATTCTTCCTCATATAGTTCAGTGTTATCATTTTATAATACATTCAGTGGAAGAAATAAAATGTTGCACATAATCAGAGTCGAATTGTAGACTGAACATCGTGTTGGATGCAGTTAATCTGCAAACGTTGCAGTCCTTGCAAAAATGATCTGGCTGCAGTATCCTTTATTTTGATGACTGAAGAAAAAAGTGCTGCACAAATAGTTTAGGAAGCTGAGTCACAGCTGCACAACAGTTTATAGGCTCTGCTTTGGGAAAGTGAAGAAGCAATTTACTTGAACCTCAGAGAAACGTAGCAGTCACTTTGTGTTTGGAATTGGCTCCTAAAATAGATCACTCATTTCATAATCCAATAAAAGTACAGCCTTATTGAGATCCAACCAATAATTATGTGCCAGTGCCAGGTTTTACGTTTCGTGTTGGTGGAATATATATCCTGACTCCATTGTAAACTTCAGAGAGATGTTTGTTTTAAATGATACAACACCCAATAGTGATGCTAAAAAGAAACAGTTGTGATTAATTTTATAATACCTTAGAGATAATAGTACAGGCTTCGGTGCATCATGAACTTCCGGTGACTGCACGAGAAATAAAGAACTCATTTTACAGGTGGAGCTCAGCTCCTCACCGGCTGAAGCCCCTTATGGTTGAGCACTTTATTCAAAGAAATGCGTTGTCCGGGCATGCTCGTCATTATTCTGCTCATGCAGATTGTTATGCTGCCTTTCACAAGATGAATCAACTGAATGAGGTGACTGGGATTCAGTTTCTGTATTAACGAAGATGTGATTTCAACAGTCCTTAGAAGTAGCCAGCAGTTTCATTAGCCCTATAACTGGGAGCGTGCTCTTCC